TCCAACTGCAAAATGGCACATCCCAGGGCTGGTGCGGGGCGCAGAGGGATCCCCAGGAGAGGCCAGGCAGGGCGCCCACCCCTGCTGCCTACCCTAGTGCCCCCCTTTCAAAACCGCTCCCTGAGGTCTGGCAGGGAAGGGGCTGGGGCTTGGTCACGGCAGATCACAAGACACCCTGGACTCCCTGGAGGCTGAGTGGGGAGGAGGGCTTGTCCTTACTGGCCCAGCCCATCCCCACCCGGTTGCTTCTTGCTACCTGTGAGTCCCCAGGGACCCAGTGAGTATCCTTGGATGCCCCCACCCGCTAGCAACCAGAAATGGCTGATGTGACCCGGGAAGCAAGAGTCTCACCTGCCCAGAGGCCCCTCTCTGGCTGGAAGGAAACCTCCGACTCTCTCCGGCCTCTCTGGCCTTTGCCCAGCGAGGCCTCCACGCAGACACCATTTCCACTCAGGTGCACCGGCTGGACATGGTGTCCTCTTGTCCTTGGTTTCCCCTCCTGGGGCACCCGCTCCCCAGGGAAGCCCTTCCTCACCTCCTGGAGAGGCCCGCCCCCGGCAGTCAGGACAGAAATTGCACATGCTGGCCAATCCCAGTGTCTCGGAGGCTGAGGCAGGAGGATGGCAAGTTCAAGGCCAGCCTCAGCAATTTAGCAAGGCCCTAAGCAACTCAGCGAGAGCCTGACTCCAAGAATAAAAAAATAAAAAAAGGGCTGGGGATGTCGCTCAGAGGTAAAGTGCCCTTGGGTTCAGTCTCCAGTACTTCCCACTCCCCCCAAAAAGAGAAAGGGTGAAGTTCATTTTAGGAATAGATTTCACTTAATCTGATCTGTCCATCATTCCAACATGGAATCAGATCAAGAACACTCTGCGACGCTTCACAGGCATCTTGTCTCCATCTCAGTGCTCAGTTTCCAGCAGTTGAGCTGAATGTACCAAATTCCTGGTGCTGTCAAGGGGGAAGCGTTTTACATCGTTTCTGCTCTTAAAGTCACATGTAAATTACTTAACAGGAAAGATAATCGAAAATGTCCACTTCCTTGGCCACATAAGCCACATTTCTAGTGCTAACTAGCCGCCGCATCGGCCAGCTCAGCTCAAAGCCATGTTTCCTTCGTATCTTGTTTTCCAATTGATCCATCAGCGGCATCTCCAGGTTGGAGGGAGGGATGGATGGATGGATGGATGGAGGGGTGGACAGGAGGATGAGTGGTTGGAGGGATGATGGATGAATAGAGAGCAGATGTATTGTCAGTTTTTATTACTATAACAAAATACCTGAGGCAGGCTGTTGTATAAAGAAAAAGACGTGGCTCATGGTTTCCGAGGTACAAGGACCAAACAGCATTTTGCAGGTTCTGGGGAGGCTCCCTGGAGCTCGTGGTGGAGTGCACGACATCGTCTCTATCAATGTGTGTCTCCCTCGCACTGCTTACAAAGCCACCAGGATTCACTCTGTGGGGGCTCCGCCTTGATGACCTCATCTAACCTAATCGCTCCCCAGAGGCCCCGCCTCTGAACATCAGGGTTGGCCTCGGCTCCCGCCCTCCCAGTGCCAGCAAGTAAGACCTTGGGGATTAAAGGCCTGAATGAATTTGAGGAACCAGCCACACTCCAGCCTGGCAGGTGGACAGCTGGGAGGAGGACCTCGCTTCCTTTCCACCCTCGCCCTCTTTTCTCCCTGATGTTGGGGAACCCCGGATCCATTTCCTTGGGGCCAGTGGTCTCCGTGAATGCCCCTCCCCCTCCCCTAACTGGCTGAGGTGTGGCTCTGGTGCCTGGGTCTCCATCCCGTGGCCCCCACCCGTCCCCATGGGCTATGCATCTCCCGGGCCCCCTCCCCGTTTTCTGCACGTGCTCAGACTCCTCTCCCGTCACCTCTCCCTGTCTCCCTGTGACGACTCAATCACCCCATCAACAAGCATTTAGTGAGCACCTCCTGCATGCCGGGCGCTTCCCTGGGATACTAGGGCTGGACGCTGGACGAGCCCCGTCCTCCTGTGGTCAGCTGTAAGCAGAACATGTAGGAAGTCAGAGGGTGACCGGGAAGGATGCAGAGGTTGGTGGCACAGCTTCTGCGAGGTGACACGGGCCAGGCAGACGGAGGAGGCCGTGAAGCGCTTAGATGTCTTAGGGGGACAGCAAATGCAAAGGCCCCGAGGTGGGACTGTTCTGGGGTCTCTGGGCCTCCATGTTCAGCCACTTCCTTGTCACCGGCTCCTTAGCCCCCCCCTTAAATTTGCACTGGGTCCTCCTGGACCTTCCCGTCTCCCAGAGCTGCCCCCTACCCCCAAGTTTCCCTCTCCATCCCCCAAATCCTCCCCTGAGGCTCTCAGGTGACAAGGCACAGTTGTCCTCCTGCTCCGGTGCCTGAAGCACTGTGGGAGACTTGGGGACGGGTCACTGAAGGTAAAACAGGAGGGTGGCCTGGGCTCTGCTCAGCCTCCTCCCCGACACCAACAGGGCCTCTCAGCCCACAGGGGGCGTCCTCCCTTCACACTGGGGTGACAGCACAGGACCAGGAGGTGAACTCAGTCACAGCTGATGCAGGTCAGGGCACTCCCCACCGTCCAAAACTTCAGAGATGGGTCTTTGGGCAGAACAACTGAGGGGACGGGACGCCCCAGGACATGTGTCTTCTGCCTACCCCTGGGTGTGAACGTGGTCAGTGCTGTGCGACCTTGGGCAGGTCCCACTACCCCTCTGAGTTCCTTTTCTGCATCTTTACAGATCTGACATCTCCCATCCCCCTCACCTATGCAACAAGCAAGGGTCAGTAAATGCAGTTTCCAACGGGGCTGTCCTCGTGTTTAGTCATCTGACCGAGATTTCTCCAACCCACGTCAGAAAAAAGGAGAACTCCAGAAAAGTGGGGCACCCCCGTGATTCTGGCTCCTCAGGAGGCTGAGGCAGGAGTCATCAGGAGTGCAAGGCTGGAAGTTAGTGAGACCGTGTCTCAAAATGAAAATGAAAAGGACTGGAGTGTGGCTCCGTGATGGAGCATCCCGGGTCCAATGTCTAATTCCAGGAGGAAAAAAAAAAAAAACCAGAGGAGGGATTCCTGGAAGGTTCCAGCAGCACGTTCTGGGAAGTCCGCGCCTCGGGTGGGAGAGGGCCACGGGGCGTCCATGTCCTTTCTGACCTGCTCGGGAGTGTTCTGAACCAGCCGGGCCTACGCCTCTGGCTGAATCAAGAATCACCTCTGGTGGGGACAGGCCTGGCGGCCAGACTCCAAGACTTGATGGGCCCGAGGTCAAACGCGGGGATGGCCAGGGGGCAGGAGACAGAGCCACGGGCCCTGGGTTGGCTGTGCCCTGGGTGCCAGAGGCTCCTGCCACCACCCAAGAAATATTCCACTTGGAAAACCAAGGCGCAGAGGCCAGAGGACTGGGCTGCGGGCTCCAAGGCTGGGAAGTGCTGCAGCTGGAGTTCAGTCCAAAGTCCCTCGCCAGCCGTGGCCGCTGGCCCTTGTGACATCTCTGGGTCGCTCCCTGTCTCTGACCTTCTGGGTGACTCTGCCTGTTTGGGGTCTTTCTGTGTCTCTATTTCTGCCTCTTTGTGTGTCTCTGTGCCCGATGGCTCTGTCCCTCACCTCTCAGGGGATCTCTGGCCCCTCTTGGTCTCTCTGTCTCTGGTTCTCTCTGAAAGTCTCCCTTCCCCTGGTCTCTGGAAGTTTCTGCCGCCCACCTCCCACACCCTGGGCCTGGAGCAGTCCCCACAGCAGCCGGTGCTGCTGACCTGGTCCCTGGTCACTCCCGGTGTCTCCAGGCAGGTGACCAGGGGACCAGGGTGCTCCGCAGAGGGCTCCTGAAGGAGGCAGCCGCGCTCCCTGCAGGACGGGGCCCTTCCCTGTTCCCGATGGCCGAACCGAGTTTCCAAGTGGGTGTCACAGGCCCAGAGCCGCCAGCCCGGAAGGCCGGGGTGTGGCCTCGGCGCTGACCCCCGTCTCCATCCCGCCGCTCTCTGGGCGCGGGCCCAGGACGTGCCGTGGCCGCTCCTCCCCGCCCTGGGGAAGGGAGGCTCCGGCCTCTCCCGCTGTCGGAGGAGGCGTGGGTAGCAGCTGGGAGAACCGGCTGCGCCCCTCCCCGTGGGCCGGGCGAGGTAGGCACCTGGCGGGCTGCGGCGGGCAGCGGCAGACGCTGCCACCGCGCACACCTGCGCCGCCACGGCTCGCGCGTCCTCCCCTCCCCGCCCTCGGCCACCGCCATGGACCAGGACGGGATCCTGAGCCTGTGGTCCAACGCCGACGACTCGGACTCCAGGTGAGGCCGCGGGACCCCTGCAGGGGCCGGCCTGCCCGCGGGACCGCCTGGGGCGGCCGCCGGCCTCGGCAAGCTCAGGCGCAGCGGGACTCGCGCAGCCCCTCCCCAGGGCCGCGAGGGGCCCGGGCCTTGCTGAGTCACCGGCGGGTGGCCCCGCGCCAGGCTGCCTCAGTGGTTCTGTCTGTCAAAGGGGTCCTGGGGCGCCGTGTCCCTGATGGAGGACTTCTCCGCAGCAGGTGCTGGGGCTCTGGGGGGCCCCATGCGTCCCAGGACACCCCAAGAAAGGCTCCAGGTGATGGGGATGTTTTTCTCCGTGGGGACTTGGAAGGTGCCGCTGGTTCGGCTGGAGGGGAGACCCCCGGAACGTGGCTTCAGAGTCTGGAGGGTGGGGGCTGAGTCCCTGACTGTGCCCTGGTGGAGGAGGACAGGGCAGAGCCCTCGTGGCTCTCCAAGAGCTGGGGACTCCTCTGTTCCTGGGGATGAGTCAGACGCTCTGATAGTGACAGGGGAAGTGGCATGACCAAGTCACACGGCCAGAAGCCAATCTGAACTCAGCCTGTGGGACCCAGAGGGTTCTCCCTCTCCCAGCCCCCTCTCCACACCTTGCCTATTGGCTCCACTTTTCAGATGAGCAAAGGGAAGCTCAGAGTGGTTAGGCAGCCTGTCTAAAGTCACACAGTCAGTGGCTGAGATGACTTCCAACCTGAGATCTTCCACTGTGGCCAGGCAAAACTTTCCTGGCCTCTTGGGCCACTCCAGCCACCCTGGGCTGTGAAGAAGGGGACAGCCCAGCCCTGTCCCCACCCTAGTTGCCTCACTCCATCCAGCTTTCCCTTCTCCTGTTTCTACCAGGAACCAGGGTGTGGGGAGGCTCCCTGGAGCTCAGGACTCCAGTCACCATTCAGTTGAACCTTGGTGGCTGTGTGGCCTAGGCAAACTTCCTAGTGTCTCTGGGCCTTCTTCTCCTTGAGAAGACTCCAGCACTCTCAGCATGCTTTTGACCAGGTCTTCCCTGGGAGGTAAACCAGCTTGCCTCCAGGGTCCCTAGCTCTGGGAAGGACCGACCCCCACCCAAGCACCTGGGAGCCTCATCTCTGCTACTGCCCAGCAGCCAGTCAGCCACTAAGTCCTCAGATTGGCCTTCTCGATTCAGTCCTTGGCCTCTCTGAACCTCAGTTTCTTCATCTGAGTCATGGGGATAAATGCATCTGCTCCCAAACTGGGTGTCCAGGGTCCCCTGTGTGGTGCCCTTCCCCCACTTCCATGAACTTCTGGGACCCCCCAGAACTGGAAGGGTGCCCCTCCTGAGCCTCGCATCACCCTTCTGGGGCCATTTCCCAATGGACACTGTCCCAGCGGAACTGAGCAGCTCTCCAAGAACAGCTGCTCCTCCCGATGCTCCCTCCGTTCCTGGGGCAGGACCCCAGCATTGCCACTGCCCCCCTCTTCTCTGTGCTCCCCACCATTGCCAGTCAGTACCCGAGTCCCACCCCGTCCCAGGCTCTCCCTCTCATCAGCCCTTGTCATCTCCTCCTGGAGCCTCACCCCAGCCTCCCCGCCTCCACTGGCCCCAGAGCTGCCTCTCCCATCCTCCCAGCCCCTGGCAGGTCCTGGTGTGCCGGCCTCACCCCCACCCAGCCCGTCTCTGCTGTCACCCCTCGGCCCTGGGACCGCGCCTCCCTGGCCCCACCTCATTCTTTGCATCCCAGCGCCTCCCGAGATTCCCAGAGAGGATCTTCTCTAGACCCGCGGATGTCCCCCGCGTCCCTGCTCTAGGTCCTTCCATGGCTCCCCAGCAGCCGGTGGCAGCAGCAGCCATCAGTGCCCAGGATACCCGTGGCAACTCCCTGGCGTCGACGCCCTCTCTGGCCCTGTGCCCCTCGAGCGGGCCGTGGTCACCCACTCTGGGCCTCTGTGCGGACAGCCTCCCTTGTCCTTGGTGACCTCTGCCCCCTCTTCCATTCGCCAAGCTGCTTCTCTGGTCTAAAGATGCGGCCCTGGTAGTTCGGGACTCTTGGCCAGGAAGGGGAGAGGGCGTGCCCAGGACAGTCCCTGGTCGTGCCGCTGCGTCCCTGAATGGCCTGTCGGTGGACAGGGAGGGAAGGTGGGGAGTCCATGAGGACGCTCTCCAGGAACGAATGAATGGAGGGGAGGGGAGGCCGCGCCACGTGGGGCGAGTCAGGGTGACACGCAGAGAGAGGGAGAGGGAGGGAGAGGGAGAGAGAGGGGGGCAGCCTTGAGCCCTGGAGAAGAGGCCCAGGACCAGGGTCCAGCAGAGACACAGGTGTCTCTTAATTGAAGTGAAGGAAAAAAAAAAAAAAAGCCCTCTGTCTACACACAGATTCCATTTTTCAGCAAGAAAAGCCAGACTCTACATTGTTTTCAGATTACAAAACCCCCCAAGATTGAATCTGGGCTGCAGCATACACAGCAAGACACTTGGCTTGGAGTGTTTGGGGTCACAGGTTTGTTATGCTCAAGACTCGCCGTGTTCCGTGCACCTTGTGCGTATTCGAGGGACTGTCGAGGGCCGTAAGTGCAAAATTTAAGTTTTAAGAAGAAAAAGATGCAGGCGGTAGGCAGGAGGGAGGGAGGGCTGAACCCCGAGTTCACGGATCCCTCCAGCACCTTGACCTGCTTGCCGTGCACCCGTATTGTCTCCTTTAATCCTTCCAGTGACTTGCCTGGCGGAGATTCACCCGGGTGAACGATTAAGTATTGTCATCCCGTTTAAGAGTTGAGCCCAGAGAGGTTTGGGTCTTGCGAGGTCACACAGCAGGGCGTGGCCAAGATTGGAACCAGGGAAACCTGACTTTCTCACACCCCGGATAGGGATTTGGGTATGAGAAAGATCCAAGAAGCAGCCCCCGCCCCTGTCCTGACAGGAGGTTCCGCGAGGACTGCACGGGTTGCGACATTTTCTCGTACCCACGTCCCTTCTGGACAGGGTCAGGGCCGGAGAGCCAGACACTCGTGGTCTCCTGGGTCCCGCCTGCTCTCTGTGGAGGGGGCAGCTGTGCCTCGTGGTCCCGTGGAGACACCAACAGGTGCCCAGGTCAGAGGGGGGACTGTCGGGACCTGATGGAAAGAAGGGAGAGGCTCAGTTTGTCCTCCTGGGATGCCGCGGGGGACGGACAGTGGGAGTCCCGGGCCGTCGAGGGCATTAACATGGGGTGAGAAGGGAGACCCTGGCTTGGCAGTGAGGTCTGGGCCACAGGCCCCAGGGGAGCCGTGGACAGCTCTCACACGGGTCAGGGAAAGTGGGGACCTGCCAGGACCAGCCGCAAGACCCTCGAGAGGTGCCCCCTGAGCTCCTGTCCCGTCCCTGTGGCTGGGATCTGCGAGGCAGGCAGGGTCACCGGTGGAGCGGTGACATCAGGGAGGGCAGTCACCCTCCCGTGCCCCTGTGTGGCTGTCCACTGATGTCCACTGAGCAGCCCTGTGCCTGCGGGCGGGGCAGGCGTGGTTCCTCCCTTCTCCTTCTCCAAGTCCCCACGGCTCCTCCTGAGCCCGGAGCTCAGGTGCTGCGGAGGCCGGGGACAGGGTGAAGACTGAGAGTAACCACAGCCCTCCCCAGGGCTTCTCCTGGGCCAGGCCCTGCTCCCCGGGCAGAGGGGGGTGAGCTCATGCCATCGGTCCCAGGACCCTTGGTCAGCCCTGCTAGAGGAAGGGACCCGCTGGGGATGCAGACTGCAGGGAGAGGTGCCCCTGTTTTTCCACCGGAGACTTGTCGCTCCCCACGGGGCTGATGAGACTGTGCATCCTCCCTACACTCCCCCGAGCAAGGCCCGTGGGGAAACACTTCCTGGTCACCACATTAAGAAGAGAGTCAAAGAAAGGGGTGAAGTCGCCTGGCATGGAGGCTCACACCTGGGATCCCAGCAAGTCGGGAGGCTGAGGCAGGAGGATGGCAAGTTCAAGGCCAGCCTCAGCCACTTAGCAAGGCCCTAAGCAACTCAGTGAGACCCTGTCTCTAAACAAAATGCAAAAAAAAAAAAAAAAAAGGGCTGGAGGGATGGGGCTCAGTGGTTAAGCACCCCTGGGTTCAATCCCTGGTACCAAAACCAGAAAAAGGGTAAAATTAATTTTAATCGTGTCTTCACCCAGTAGATCCAAAGTGGACCGATTTCAACTTGTGATTGATTTTTAAAAAGTATTAGTAAGGTATTTCAAATCCTCTCCCTGCTGTGCTGCGAGACCTTGGCCACTCATGGCTGGAAAAGCGGCCGGGGCCCAAGGTCTCCCAGCATCTGAACCCAGTGTCACGGAGAAACAGTAGCAAAGAACTCAGGTTAGCAGCTCACCAAGTCACAGGCGGCTGTCCCCGCAGCCCTGTCCTCCCGGAGGCTCAGATGCAGGCTGTGTGCGCCCCAAGGGCAGGAGAGGCACACAGTAGGCGCCTAATAGACGCAAGGTGGCAGGGAGAGAGACCGAGCGAGAGTGCACAGAGAAGGAAGGACGAAGGACGGGAGGCAGAGCCTCAGGCTAGGCCGCGGCTGGTGTGGTGGAGCATGGCGCTCCAGGGACTGGCAGAGCCCTCCGCCAGAACAGAACGGCCTGGGCTGAGGCCGCTGGGCGGGGCAGGAGGCCTGACAGCCACACGGACACCGCCAGGCTTCAAGGGACAGAGCCTGGGAATTGGAAGCCAAGTGTGGCTTCCTTCGGGTGCATGTGGGTGAGACGCCCTGCCTCAGAGCCTCCATGTTCCCGGCCTTCTCTCTCCTCCCTCCCTTGCTCTCTGTTTGTTTTGTTTTGAACCCACGGGTGCTTTACCCCTGAGCTACACCCCAGCCCTGTGTGTGTGAGTGTGTGTGAGTGTGTGTGTGAGAGTGTGTGTGTGTGTGTGAGTGTGTGTGAGTATGTGTGTGTGTGAGTGAGAGTGTGTGTGTGAGTGTGTGAGTGTGTGTGTGTGTGTGTGAGTGTGTGTGTGAGAGTGTGTGTGTGTGAGAGAGTGTGTGTGTGTGTGTGTGTGTGTGTAATTTTGAGATAGAGTCTTTCTA